GATATATTAAGGTAGCATTATAAAATTCATTTTTATACAACCTTTACAATGTTTGTAATAAAAACATATGCTGGCAATACTTATTTTCCATTTAACAATTGATGCCCACTATTTATTTTACTTTAATTGTGTAGAAGAAAACTAATTTTGAAGATTAAATTTATTTTAAAGCAATGAAATTAGGCTATGAAATAGCATCAAAAATGGACAAAAAGAGTTTGCAAATTATGATATTTGGAATTCTTTCATTTTGCACGTAAAAAACTTAAAAAATACTACCTTTTGTTTCTAAATGATTAGCAAATTTCCAACTACTAATTTTAAGCACTTCTCAAATAATCAATCAGCAGCACGGGGAGTTTTTATTCACAATAAAGGGAATGCTAAGTTAGATAAAATTGCCACCATATTTTCTCATTTTAAACACGTTTTATGGTACTAGAGACATCTTGGTTGTCTACATAAAAATTAACAGAAGATGACTGCATCTCAGATGTGATAAACATCACTGTGAGACAAATTTGCAGAAATATCATGCACCTCAGTAATTTATAACCTTATGATGCGGTGTTAAAGGAACCATTATGAGTATAAGTAAACAACTTATGACTAAAAATAAAAGCAGGGTTGGGTGTGGTGGCTCACACCTGTAATCCTACCACTCTGGGAGGCCGAGGAGGGAGCATCACTCGAGCTCAGGAGTTTGAGACCAACCTGAGCAAGCGCGAGACCCCATCTCTACTAAAAATAGAAAAAATCAGCGTCCCACAGTGGCACACACCTGTAGTCCCAGCTACTGAGGAAGATGAGGCAGGAGGATCACTTGAGCCCAGGAGTTTGAGGTTGCAGTGAGCTGTGATGACGCCACTGCACTCTAGCCTGGGTAACAGAGCGAGACCCTATCTCAAAAAATAAACAAATAAATAAAAGCAACTTAAATTGTATTAAAGTTAAAACCATCAACACAGCTAGTATACAGACATTAGTTCCCACTAACACATGGTACAAATTTGGAAACTCAAACTCTTGTTCTAAGAGGAAAAAATTATAGATTTATTTTATTCATTTCATTTCATATTTTATTTTATTTTGAGGCAGAATCTTGCTCTGCTGCCCAAGCTGGAGTGCAGTGGTTCTGAGATAGGGAACCAGCGGGCCTTGTTTAATAAAGAGTCATAAGGCTCAAAGTAAAGTCTCTGATAAAACACAAGGTGGTGGAGAAGCTGGCCCAAACCAGCTAGAACCAAGATGGCCATGAAAAACAAACTCAGGTTACCCTCATTCTCATTATATCCTGCTTATGATGTATTAGCATACTAAAAGAAGCTCCCACCAGTGCCGTGACAGTTTACAAATGCCATGACAACTCCCAGAAGTTACCCTATATGGTTTTAAAAGAAGAGGAACCCTTGGTTCTGGGAACTCCCCACCTCTTTCACAGAAATCTTATGAATAATCCTCCCTCCGCTTAACATACCATTAAATAGAAGGTGTAAAGTAAGACGGGGAAGCTCACAAAGTGCCATCCTTTGTTACTCTGAGAGAGAAGCCGCTGGCTGCTCTGCCTGTGAAGCAAGGCTTCCTTTTGTTTGTTACTTCAATAAACTCGCTTTGGCTTTACTCTTGAATTCTGTCCTGCGTGAAGCCAAGAACCTGCTTGGCCTTCAGTCTGGACCCCAGTGTTGGGGTCCAATTTCCTGTATCAGTGTGATCACAGCTCACTGCAACCTCCCACTCCTGGGCTCGGAAAACAGATCCTCTTGCCTCAGCCTCTTGAGTAGCTAGGCCTAAAGGTGTATGCCATCATACCCAACTAATTTTTTTATTTTATGTAGAAATGAGGTCTCACTATGTTACCCAGGCTGGTTTCGAACTCCTGGCCTCAAGCGATCCTCCTACATTGGCCTCCCAAAGTGCTGGGATTACAGGTGTGAGCCCCCACACTCAGCCTAGATACCCATTTTAGATTGAGGTTTTTTGTTTTTTTTTAAAAAAGAAAGACACAGAAAGAGAAATCATTACCACTATGGATGATAAATGATATTAACCCACTGAAATAACTCTATGACCCCTAGGGACCAGGAACTCCCTGATGTAGCATAACTATGTTTGACTGAATTATTTATGAAGATCAGAGAGGTTAAGTGATTTGTCCCAGTCCACACAGTAACCATGTGGCTTCAGTCCTCTTTAGATATTGTCTGTAAGACAATTTTCCTTCCTATTTACAAAAGCTGCTTTCATTTGGCTTAAGCATTTGAAATATAAATATATTGAACATGATTGGTCAGATAGTTGTTCTAAATTGTACTAAATCTGCTTTTAATAATCACGACGTATTTATGTCATTTTTAAGTTTTGATAGTGCACAGAATTCTTTGAAGACATGCCATTTTTACATAATTCCCTATTTTCTTTCAAGTCTATGAATCCAAGTTTCTGAAGAGATTGTGAATTCCATAAAGTCAAGGGTGCTATGTAAATTTAACACAGCAGGCACTTACAAAGTCCCAAACTTTTTAAACAGTAAGAGTAAGAAGCAGTTTGAGTGTTGTCATCTTTCCTTTATCTTATCTTTAACTGAGAAAAGAACTAAGAAGAGAAAAGGGGTCAAAAAGGAAGAGCTGTCACAAGGAAAGAAAAGCCCTGAGGCTTTGCCAATCCTTTAATTAATGGTAAGCACCTAAATGCTTTTTTTCTAGACAAGTTGTTTTTGGTCCTGCTTAAATGCAACCATCTCAGAGTTGCCCCACCAACTTCTTTTAGCTTTGTTTTCCCAAACATGCCAGTTACAACAGTGGATAGGGCAAGCACTTGCTGACCCAGAGCTATCTTTATCCTCAAAAGAAGTGCTAATTCTGACTGCAATCCCCTAAACTAATCCTCGCCTCGCCCATATGCTACCATATTAATACCTTATGTCTTAGGGTGGGTTCCCTAAGAGGAAAATCCGACAAGATTTGGATGCAGTGATTCATTGAGGGAATGCTCTCAGGAGAAAGGGAGGGAAGGAAGCAGGGAAAGGCCCACGAAGAAGCTAAACACAGAGTACTTCTCAGCTTGCGTCTGGTTCCAGCCCAATCCCTTCAGGAGCTCTGGAGAATGAAGTGCACCAAAAAGTTGACCCCACCTTGAGACAAGGGGCCAGCCTTTTTTGCCTCCACCCCAGTCAGCCATGGGGAGGAGAAGGCATAACATCCAGGGCAAGGCTGCTTTCTTTCTGCTGAAGGCAATTCTCTGGGGGAAGTGACTAGCTGGGAACTGCACAGGAGTACCTGGGAGATGGGTGCGCTGGCCCAGTAGAGGAGATCTGGGCAGGGCATCAAAGATATCAACAGCAAAAAAACAAAAACAAAAAATAAAACAAAAAAAGAAAAGAAAAAAAAATTAGCCAGGCACAATGGTGTTCCAGCTACTCAGGAAGCTGAGGCAGGAAGATCCCTTGAGCCCAGGAGTTGGAGGTTGCAGTGAGCTACGATGATGCCACCACGCTCTAGCCCAGTCAACAGAGTGAGATCCTATCTCAAAAAAATAAAATAAATAAAAATAAAAAATAAAAACATCGACATTATCCACTACACCTTGTCATCCTATTCCCCTTCTTGACTAATACCGTGATACTATGAAGAAGGAAGAAGATGAACTAGTAAAACTGTATCGGTTTTATATAAGCATAGTAAATAAAGAAAAAATAACCTGTTAAGAGTTCTATAGTAGTGAGAAGCATAGACCAAAAAGAAAAAAAAGAAAGAATGTGCACACATGATGCAAATTCATCATGAGCTTTTATCATGAGCATGAGCTTTATCTTCATACCTCTCTGATCTCCAGATTCCAAGGATCCTTGGCTGAGTGTCCCCAGCTGCCTAAATCTGCCACTTTTTCATTCAGCATTCTTCCAACCCCAGACAGGAAAATTAGTAAATATTCTGTTCCCTAGGCATAAGTAAAAACTTCCATACCTGAAATCCTAGACCATACCATGAAACTGAAAACTATCATCTATTATAAAAACTCCATATATTTACTGTTTTAATACAATGTATAGCAATATATAACAATGGAAAAATTCAATATTTTATTCAGTTCTAAGGCATGACATAAAGTACATAGTTTGAAAAATGTTTAAGACACATATTATTACCATAACACAAAAGTTAATGAAACATTCTACAATGATAGCAAAAAATGTATAAAGTTTTTCTCTTAATTTGTTTTAATTCCCAAAAAAGTAGAAATTAAGAAATAATCTTTAAAGAGCTTTCTGTAATTCCATTTAGTGTTCATCTCTGTCTCCGTGTCTAGAAAGCCTTCCTGTGTGATAGCCATGATTTTAAAGTATCCTATATTTAACTGGTTTTAAGGACCTATAAAACTTGTTGAGCTATGATCACAATTTGCATTCCTGTAAAACCTGACGGAAACTGACTGAAGGGACTCAAGATGCTAAACATAACTCTATGACAGATTTAAACTCAGCTGGTTAAAAAATGCTTTGAGCATTGAATAGTCTGTGACAAGACCAGGGGACTTACTGGCCTGTATCCTATTGAAGTCATGAGGCATTGTGGGTATTACCGGTATTCATCTGAGTTATGTACTAAGGCAAATACAGACAGATTAGAATCTATTTTGCATACAAAGTGGAATTGAAATCCTCTTATGAGAAAAAAGGTGTCAATCATTGTAAGCAATGATGGCAAGAAATGCCTCAAAAGGAAATGAAACACACCTGGCGATGCTTGGTCTTATCTTTCCAGATACACACACAGTCATGGTCCTTTCCTATTTCTTCCTATAAGCAGACCTTCCAAAACTCAGAATGGAGCTAATGGGCAAGGTATGAAGTCAGTTGTTGGTATCTTATTTAGCATTAAAGCATCAGAGGCAGAAATTAGAAGGTTATAACAAAATAACAACCCTCCATAACCCCACCTTTAAAAAAATTCTCATTACTGAAAAACAACAAATGAAAGTCTAAGACAGAAAGGAAACGGTATATATTTTAGAAAAATCTTTAATGCATTATTTTGGACAATTCTATGAAACTTAAATATGTAATGTAATCATATTTTCTATTAACCCATTTCATTGTTAAATTCTCCATTCAGGGTTCAATGGTTCTAAGATTATCAGTGACATCTAAAATTCTAAGAAAATCTCACCAAGTCATTGCTAGCTGTAAAATTTCTTCGGTTTCTATTTTTAAAAAACCTCTTTAGCACTTGGACAAGGGAATGTATGCTACATAGTGATGACCTTTTATTTTTATTTGTATTTTGTTGGCAGTTCAGTTGGTTTTCAACATTTATTGAGCACCTACTATGTACCAGGCACTGTACTAGATGCTGGAGACACAAAGATGAATAAGACATGGTCCCAGTCCCCAAGAAGCTGGCAGTCTCTTGGAGGCAAACAGGTAGTGCAAAGATGTAGAGTTTACTCTAAAATGGATAAAAATGTCAGTAATGTAGTAATATTGGGCCTTTAAATACAATGGTATGTCATTGTTTATAATGTCAAGGCAGAGAAATAAAATGCATTTTCATGATAAAACAGTAAAATAATTAAGATCTAACTTTTAAAGATTCACATGATAAAGGTAGTTAATACTAAAAATTTACACCATAGTTTTTCAAGTATTTCATAATTAGAAATATTATTGCCCACATTTGTGCTATAGTCAAAGCCATAATTCCAGGTTGCTGCGTCATTCACATCTCAGCATGCTGGGATTGAGTTTCTCGCTAAGTTTATGAATAAGAATGGCTAATTCCTCAGTCGCTTGGCTCTTGTCCTCCAAAAGTTCATAACGAAGGCTGGAGATATCTTGCTTGATTTCTTTTAATTCACCTATAGTATTTGTATGAAAAATATATAATTGGTAATTTGCTCTTTGGATTTAGAAAAGAACGAACAGTGAAATTCATACAATATGAATATATTTGCTTCATAAAGTCTCCAAGGTAGCTATTTCAATTTTTTTCCTTTAAAATGTTTAAGAAATATCTATCTTTAAAGATATATCGACCTTTGCAAAAAGGTATAAAAATAGTCCACTTATGTTTTTTAGTAGTAAAACTCAGCTTACAGTACTGTTCTTTGGCTTACCCAACTTTTAACACAGAGTGATTCTCTGTTAACTGATCTACAGCCAGGAGATCTCCTTTCTGACTACAGGGGTGTCCCTTTGTTTCCCTCATACATAAGGATTGACACCAACATCAACTATCTCTCATTGCTAGGATAGCAAAACTTCAAGCTTTACCAAAAATGAATCAACTATTTAACAGGCAAATACTCACACAGAAGAGGTACATTTTAAGTCAAATTTGAAGTAAGGGAAGGGAAGGAAAAAGAGTAGGGGTGTTTATTAGGAAAGGCAGTGGTAATGAACTTAGAGTCAAGGAACAGAAATTAGTTTGCCTGGCACAGAAGATCAGTGCATAAGGAAGTAACAAGCAGCAGTAAAATTAAGGAGGTTAGATGTGATACCACTGGCAATGTGTAGACTCCATACTCTGAAAAGAGAATAGCAGAGTTTTGGCCATTAAAACCAACAGCTCCCATAATTCAGCTTGGCAGTATTTTGAGCGTATGTGGACTACAATTAAATACTGGATTCTCTTGCAAATGACTGTAATGTAGGTTAAGCCATTGACCTTGAAAAGTGCAAGTGGGGGCAGAAATTTACCTTGAATCTAAGAAATGATTCTTCAAATCATTGGCACTTTGACTTAGCTTTTTATAATAGAATAGCATGTAAAACACACCTTTGATACTATTTCCTTGTATCTTCATGATGCTTTAAAGTATAATTTCAATGTTCTTCTATTATATAAAAGTCAGAACCTTTTCGTTTTAAGCAATTCTAACTCTTTCTCAAAAATGCACAAAAAACATTTGTAGATTCCTTTTGTGGCAACAACAAAAAAGTGCTTTCTTTGGCATACGGCAATATAAACGGAATAAAATGATCTAATTTGAAATCCGGAGGCCAGTCTTTGGTGGAAGAAATGGGTTCCCACACCATTCCTAACCACTGTGGACCACCATTCAGTACCGTTGTGGTCCCCCTTTCACCTCCGGCTCCCATATCCTGCCTTCCTTGTTCCTGAGTCATGGGGCGACTGTTCCCTACGTCTTCTATTTAGTCTGTCAATTCAGGAAACACAAATTACTCAACCTCTTTGGACATTCGTTTCCTCATTTATTGAATGAGGAGGTTGAGCTATAAGGATCCACTTTCTTAGTAACAACTTTATTTAAAACATCAAATTCTCATTACTTTTCCTCTTTTGTGCAAGGGCTTAGAAAATGTTCCTTGTTTTTGATGTTGTTACGGCCATACAATTCCTCCCATTTAGTTTCCCCCCCACCCAAGGGAGGGTATGGTACAACTCACCAGAGTTCTGCTTTCTAAACTTCACTTCAATCCTGTCTCCCTGAGACTGTTTCTAGGTCACTATAATTGGATTTTTGCTGGTTCTCAATCACACATTCATAGATTTCTTTTCTGCATACACATACCATTGGATTGACTCAGATTTGCAAGGGAGTCCTTGTATTAAGTGATGGCTTCCAAGCCCTCAACAATTTTACTAAGTTTAGCTCTTTTTTCCCTCATCAGTACAGGTAGATCTAGTGGCATCTCATTGGTGTTGGAAAGTATAGTTTCCATTCTTAGGGCAACTTATTTCTCCCGGGTTGATTTCTTTCCAACTCTGGGCCTGTGCTTTGACAAAAAAAGTTTTATAGTCCAGACAGATGCACTGCCTCAGATATGCCTTCAAAAAAGAAGCATGGTTAAGTCAGGAGCCAAGGATAAAAGTGAAATTCAAAAGAGAAACATCAGACAAAAAAAATATGGGTTAGAGATTTGTTTCTGGACAACAAAATAGAGGTTTTTCTAAAGACATGTGAATTCTATTTGAGTCACTGTTTTACCTGCATCACTGGAAAAATGTTAACACTAATTTGAGCTCACTAAAAACAGACTATTTTACTGACTATTTTATGTAAGGATTTTAAAAACTCCTAGAAAGATAGCAGTCTTTGCATTCTACGAATCGGTTAGGGTACTCTGGAGACAAATTGCCTCTGATCAACATTTTTAACAATTGTTTCTTTAAAAAGATGAAGTTTTAGAAATGAAACGTAAGATTCTCCTGTCAATCTTGGAGGGAACCAAACTATAACCTGGGATTGTATTTTTAAAGTATGCTTCAATATGAAGTTTTCCAGGTTCATTAAGTTATAAAAGGATGTTTCTCAAATTGGAGGTGCTTACCTTCATTAACTTCATCATTTTCTTTGTCAACTTGTGCTTTCAAAACATACCGCTTTATAAGTCTTTTCATTATCTGCTGTTGGGCAAAATGAAGAGATTAGATCACCAATGAAACACATAAGTACCCTGGATCCTGTTTTCCAAAGAGCCTTACATACCTGTAAAACAAACAACTCAGAGGAAAAGAATTTTATGTAACTATTTACAAAAGAATTACCCAGGTTTCAGCTTAACCCCTTCTCACCTTCTACTGAGACTTATTACATGATCCATAAACACTACTTTTTCCTCCCTTTGGCCTCAGCAATGAAAGAAGCTTTTAAAAAAAAGTTAAGTTGGAAGATTTCAATTCATAGTTTCTCTTTCAACTAATGGTTTCTCATTAAGGTGCACTGACCCTAGATTATCACCTAAAGACACTACCTATAGGTATATTTCTGTATTTTGAAAAATATGTGAATATATGCTGTATAGAGGGAATTTGGAAAATACAGAGAAGAACAAAAGAAATAAACAAAATAATTGATAACTCCACCACCCAAAGATAATCACTGCTATTATTCTGTTGTATGTTCTTCGAATATCTTTTCTTTAAATTTTGTATGTATACTAATACTAATTACTACATGTATTATATTTTATGTTTTCTAAATACCATATATTCTGTTATGTTACATGTTTTCCTCTCATAGCAATATATATTGTGACTATTTTTCAATTTAAATAAATGTTCTCACATAATAATTGCTTATACATACGGAAAAAATTAAATTGGAGCCTTACTTCATACCATGAACAGAAACATTAATTTCATGTGCATCTTTAATGTGAAAGACAAAGCTTTTGAATCCTCTAAAAAAAGGATAGGAGAACATATTTATAAATTCAGGGTAGAGCTGGATTTTTTAAAAAAAACAAGATAAAAAATTTTAATTACAATAGAAAAGATTAATAAATTCAATTTCATTACAATTTAAAACTTCTGCATAATGAAAGTGAAAAGGCAAGCCACAGACTGGGAGAAAATATTGGTAATTTATAACTGACAAATAATTCAGATCTAAATATATAAATAACTTCAATTCAATAAGAAAAACTCAAATAACCTAATTTAAAAATGGGCAAAATACAAACAAGTGTTTCACAGAGATGGAAATGTGAATGGTCAACAAGTTTATTAAATAATCTCAAACTCTTTTGGGGGGGAAATACAAATTATTACTAAAGGAGACACAATTTTACATCTAATAAATGGAAAAATTAATAAATCTGATAATGCCAAGTGTTAGAAAGGATATGAATCAATGGGGACTTTTATACTTTACTGGTCTGAATGTAAATAGACAACTTTGAAAATAATTTGGTATTATCTTTTTTTTCCTTACTTTTTATATTTTTATCTAAAAATTTTTTTTAGAGACAGGGTCTCAACTATGTTGGGAGGCTGGCCTCAATTCCTGGGCTCAAGGCTATCCTCCCACCTCAGAGTCCCTAGTGGCTGGAGGGCCACTACACCTGGCCAGTATTATCTTTTAAAGCTGAACATTTACGTACCCTTTCTCCCAGAAAGTGCACTACTTGGTATAGAGTCTAGAGAAACTTTGCACATGTGGAGGAAGAGACAACAATGTTTACAGTAACTCTATTCAAAATAGCAAAAACTGGAAACAATATAAACAAATATCAATAGGAAAACAGACAATTCACAGTATGTTACACAATGTAATGTCATTGTGTTCATTAATAAAATTAATGAACCACAGCCACACACAACAGTGTGGATGAATCTTAGAAGCATAATGTTGAATGAAAAATTCCAGTTGCAGAAGACTTCACGAAGTATGAAACTGTTCTTACAAAGCTCAATAACAAGTAAATCTATGTAATATATTTTTAAGAATATCTATAAATATAGTGAATTATATTTGAAAAGAAAACCAAAGGAAGAAGATGAGAAACCCAAACTTCAGGATAGGGATTACCTCTTAGGTGGAGGCAGTGGGGTGAGGCAGGGAGGTACACAAAAGTGGGTGATTGGATATCTTCCTTTCCAAAAAGAGTGAAAGCTTTTCTTTTCACTTGCTTATTTCTTACTGATTCATATTCAACTAACGACTGTTAAGCACTGTATCTGGTTACTTTTACATTCATCCTTTCATTTAATTCTACAAAGAAGCTAAATTTGACTGGCATCAGTAGGTTTTGTACTATGAATTTCAGTAATCTAAAAGTGTAAGTGAAGGTAATGAGACTGATTTGGACACACATAAAGAACTCCGAAGTATAGAGTAAAATTTTAGAGAGGAAAGGTACCTTGGAAGTCATTGTTTTTCATATTTTCATACCACTCATTGTGAGACTTCCTAACAGATTACCATTACACAGCCTTGGTGCAAACACCTGTGATTGAGAACCTGCTACTTTTCCCAGACAGCCGGTCTATTCCGTTTTTGGACAATTGTGGCTGTTAGAAAACAACTCCTTTGTATTGAGCCACAATCTGCTTCACTGTACCTTCTAACCACTGGTCCAAGTTCTGCTCTTTGGGGAAACAGAAAATAAATTTGCTGTTTTTCCTACTTGATTGACTTTTAAATATCCCTTCTTCTGGGTTCCCCTAGGTTCCCATACCATTTATTTATATTTCATTTTATTTATATTTATTTCTATTTCATACGTAGGCATAGCTATTCCACATAGCCATACTGCAGTGATGTGTGAATGCTTGCTTCCTCCTCACCTCAACACTGCCATTCTACTCCAGTGGAAAGATCCTTGAAGGAATGACTGGATCTTTCTATGCATAAAACCTAAGACCATGCATAATAGGAGTTGTTTTGAATGTGCCAGAAGCTCATTGAGTGGAACTTACTGTGAATGTCTTATTTTGCCCCCTTCAGAGAAAAACTGCCATATGCTTCCAGTAAAACCAAGCCTGTAATGATTGCCTGCATAGATTGGACCAGAGACCACCACCTGGGCCAAAGACCATCCAGCACTCTCTGGGCCAAAGGTGTTCCCACTGCGAAGCCAGCTTAATAGCTGGCTGCCAACAAGAGACACCAAAGAGACTAAGACTTAAGACTTAACAGCACAGCTTCTGTGGACTCTTATAACAAATTCCTGTTTATTCACATAGCTTAGTTTATCTGTATGCTTTTAACTTTACATAACCAAACTAATACAGTTTTCAATAAAACATTGTTAAAATTGGCAGAATTCAATCACAGCCATCCTTCCAAGTCTTTATGACCTTGAGAAAAACCACCCCTATTGCTTCTCGGCCCTTTGGCTAAGATCAAATACGAAAAAACACCCTCAGTTTTTAAGACAACTCCTTACACAAAAAGAATTATCTCGGCATGCTATTAATAATTAATTTTAGAATAAATACTGCCACTGATCAAAGTATTTTTGAATCTGTTCCTCTGCTGCCCCTTGAGGCACATTTGAATCTTTGTCTTTGAAGAAATGGTTTTGGAGGAAAAACCTTCATTTGGATGTAAAACACATAAGGTGATGACCCTGTTGGTGATGGCTGTGTTTTTTTTGAAGTTGGATGCAATTATTTTTGAAAAAATGTAAAGGCACGGCATTATGTCTTATAAATATGAATAATTAGCTGAGTTCAGTAACTAGAAAGTAATGAAATATTTTTGTGTCCTATGAACTAATTATAAAAGTAATTCTTTAAAGATGTTCTAAAAATGTTCAGAGTTGTGATAGCACTATTAGAATTAGTGTATCCCAGGGGTTACACTCTGAAGGAAAATCCCCATTTAAGCAGACTATGTTCTGGAATTTTTTAAAGGTAAGTTTTATCTATTATAATCACACTGCATGAAACAAAAATCCGTAACAACTAAACAATTGTTATCACTCATTGCCATGGACTGAATGGTTTGTCCACTCCAAATTCATGTGTTGAAATCTTAACCCCCAATGTGATGGTATTAGAAGGTGATTAAGTCACGAGGGTGGAGCTCTCATGAATGGGATTAGTGCCCTTATAAAAGAAACCCTTGGGTTTGTGCTTCCCCGGGCCATGGTCACTTATTGGCTCAGAATAAACCTCTTTAAATATTTTGGCAGAATTTGGTTTTTCCATCGTCATTTGTTTGACTTTTGTTTTAAACTACAATAATTAAAATGATGTAGTTCTATAGCATGAATAGTTAGATCAATGGAACAGAATGGAAAGCCTAGAAATAAATTTAAATATAAACAGGAATTTAGTAAATGATAAAAGTGGCATTTCAAATCAATAGGTTATTCGACACACCCAGCTGTGTAATCATCTGGAAAAAAATATATTTGGATATTTTATTCTATGTGAATAAAATATTTTCATGTAAAAAGTAAAAGTACTAAAGAAATATGGGTTAAAAATTACTAAATAATCTCATATGGGAGAAGATCTTTCCAAACAGTACACAAAACCTGAAGCCATGAAAAATTTGTAAAGCTAACTATACAAAAATAAAAAAGCTATGGGTGGGGGAAGAACTGTCTAAATATTAAAAAGACACTCAACAAACTGGTGAAAAAATTCTCAACTCTTATCAAAAGCTGATATTATTAAAATACAAAAAATTTATCTTAATTGATAACAAAAATCGATCAAGAAAAGCAAATATATATTGAGTCACGAGTATATAGAACATTAAACATAAAATGAAGGTCAAGTTCATTCATGATAAGGAAATGCAAAGCAAAACCATTTTCACCTATCTGACTAAGATAAAAACCTTTGGTAACACATTATTGGTAAATTGAGGATGAAATGGGTACTCTGATACATTTGTTGTAAGAATGTAAACTGGTACAAGCTCCATCGATACCAGTTTGATAACAGCTAAAAAATTAAAACACATATACACTTTAACCAGAAAATTCTATAAATTTGCACATTTGAAATGTTATGTATGCAAGATTACTTATTGCAGTATTGCTTATAATAGCTAAATATTGACAATATAGTCTATTTTCATCAATAGAAGAATGAATAAATTAAGTACAACGATATAATGTAATATGAACACAAGCTTAAAAGCAAGGCTTTGACAATCAGTGTGCCGAGCAATTGTGCCGAATTTCCTGCTCTTAAGAAAACTATATAAAGAAGAGGACTCTACCCATTAAGTGACATCACCAATACATTATAAATTCCTTGATCCTCATATCTGTGACCTTACACTCATGAGAAATTTAAGGATTTGATGTTCAAAATGACCAACCAGATGAAAAATAAAGAAATACAATCTGAGTTGGAGAACAGTGTTCAACTGTCACATCCAATATCAAAATGCAAAAGATATTTTAAAGTGGTGCCGATGAAACAGTATAGCCTAACAAGCCATTTAAAAAGCGGATCACCTCAAGGAAAAACCTGGAGAGATGTATCAGGTTTTCCTACTGTGAGAGCATTATTCATTCTCATATACCCTATCGCCCACTGTTTTATCCAGCTTAAGGTATATCTAAGTGTTCTCTGGAAATTGTAGCAACATTTTATTTTCAATAATGCAAAAGAAACTCTTCTCACTCAGCAAAAAAAAAAAAAAAAAAAAAAAAAAGGGCTTGGACTTTGTTCTAAAGGCCCCTCCAACTACCACACTCTTTTCTCATTTCCTCTGTTCTGTACTATTCTCATAGTATGTCTGAAGAATATAATTCTACTCACTGTACACACATATGTGCACACACACACACGCACACACGCAACCACAGACAGATCAAGAGATATGACTAATGAATGCTTACCTGATAACGTGTTGGCTGATTGAGAATGCTGTTAAAACTGTGTGATTCAAAAACTCTTGAGTTAGACTGAGTGAAGCGGTTTAACTAGGAAAAAATACAATTAACCTAGTAAATCAGAATACATTCATTTGGAATCAAAAATATAATCCACTTTATTCTCCTTGATAATTTATCTGGAGTCAACATTTCCGAGGAACATTTTGTGCAAGTCGAGTTTTATAAGTGATTTGATATATTCCCAAAGGTAAAAATTAAGGTGAGCAATATGCTTACATTTATCAAAATGTTGGCAAGATGTACTCCTCTAGTAGAAATGTTTAACTGAAAATATAGGTTAAAAAGTTGGCTCATACTAAATAATTTTTCCTGGGGACTTTGTGGAGTTTATCAAAATGTATTCATGGCATCTAAAAGGCAAAGTTCCACAGAAGCAGAATCTATCTGATCATGAGCCTAAGTTCTCCTAGCCTTGAACAGAAACACACTATATGTCCAGCTGGTACCATCTGATATTCTGTAGCCCTACAGTATTAGCCAAAATGACACATCTTCCAAAGGATCTTGGCCTTATATTGAGCCCAGTTCACAACTTTGGAGAAAAATGCACAAAAGCATTTTGATTTTCATTTCTTTTCTCTCTTTTTCTTTTTAGGTTTAGCTTTTGAGTGGGTAAGAACAGAAAGTAAGAAGAGCACACAGGTACTGTCTACTCTTCATGTATATGACAGGGACCGCCTCTTATCCCTGGGTAAGCAGCCACCTATAAGGTGTGATGCAAAGACAGGGCCCCTTGTCCCAAAAGACCTGACTTCCCACTCTTATAACTCAGGAAGGTGTGGGATGCTAGGGAGGAAGGAAGCGGCACTGATAGGCAAGGACCCTCCTAACTTTGTTCTCTTAAAATTATGCCAGGAGAAAACCGTGGCTAACAAAGTTAATTCTCCTATATGCCACTGGAGGTCAGTATCTGGCTGTTGACTGAGGTTAGCTGTGTAGGTTAGCTGGAAAGGTTTCTTGAGGCTCCTTCCTCTCTCTTCTAAAAAAGAAAAATAGAAAAATAGAATTTCTCCAAATTTCTACTACATTCAAGATACAGAGAGTATCTATGGATAGTATTAAAGAGATTTAAACAGCTCTATGTACAATTTAAAAGATGAAATCAAAATGGCAGTTTTCACCAGATATGGGAAGCCTGGGAAGCCAAGAAGCATGCCTCCTGAGAGGTGAGTGCTCACTGTTCCTTCTGTTTCCAGGCTTTCTGAGAAAAGCTAGTCTTTCCCGTCAGGGGCGCCATACAGGCAGGAGAGGACAGCCCAAATGGAAAGCTTCCCTCTCACGTTTCCTTTAGAAGGGCCCAGGTTGCCTCCAGCCAGGTCGGTGTGCTCTTCTCAACCTGATTTTTAGCATTTCCCTTTCTACATTACAGTATCAGGAATGAAGTTAGTGAAACCTGTTGCTACAGAAAGAAAACTTGTGTTCCGTGAAGTGCGAGAGCTGTGAGCACCCACACTTGAGAGACCTCCTTTTTAGTAATAAAGCCTCAGTTAATAAATCCGCAGAAGAACACGGCTTCTTCAAAAACAAAGTCAGTTTCACAGCAGGAGCTGCCCGGCTACCCTGCAGCTGAAGGTATGGCTTGTGGGGAGGAAGTCAATCAAGGCTGGACTCAGCAGAGACAGCTGGGCCTCTGATGCCAGCAAACTTGAGCTCCACACCTACCCCTGCAGTGGCTAGCTTCTGTGATCTTGCGTAAGTGAGTTATTGGACTGGTTTCGGCTGTCTATTCTGTCAAATGGGAATAATGATGATATGTACCTCACAGCATTGCATGAGGTTCAAATGTATGGTAAAGCACTTTGTAAAGTGTGAATGAGGAAGGGTACTGATATTTGTTGAGGCTGGAACTTTGTGTTTTCTCATATAATCCTCATACTAACCCTAAAAAGTTCTCTTTCAGGTGAGACAATTAAGGATCAGAGTGGCGAAGTGATTTATCCATGTTACTTGCTAATAAGTCATGGGTACCAGAATTTAAATCCAGGTTTAACACCAAGGCTCTGTTCCTTACATTGTACCGCTTCTGACTGCATAGATATGAGGTATTATTTTAAATTATGGGCTGTCACAGCCAGTCACTGCCTTGGAACCTAATAGCCTGTAAAGCCCCAATCCAGGTCAAACAAAAAAAGATTTAAAAGGTCGCTTTCTTAAACAATGAGATTGTAGAGTATTACAAATCTTGAAAACTCATATCTGTCTTAAAAAGCAAGAAATTAAGTTGCATTAATCCTGTTTTTTCCTCAGCTTCAACTGAGAAGAATATCTACCTTTGCTCAGGAAGGCCTATTCTTTATGGAGATAACATTGCTACCCTGTGGGCTTCTAGGATATTACAGCTACAGACCATTTTCACAGTTTTAGGCAAAAATTATATATTTTATATATATAATTTATTTTGAGAGACAGGGTCTCACTCTGTTGCCCAGGCTGAAGGCAGTGGCGGAATCTTAGCTCACTGCAGCCTCGAACTCCTGGGCTCAAGCCATCGTTCCACCTCAGCCATCCAAGTGCCCAGGACTACAGGCGTGCAGCACGATGCTCGACCCCAAAATTATATTTTAGCCCCACAGATTTGCTCCTACCTGCCTCGTTCCCTGTTATTTGAGGTTTGCCCATATCCTTCTGTCTCCTATACCAATTCTATCTCTGAAAATTAAGTTCACGATAATAAAGTGCCATCATGAAAATTATCTTCTTTATGAAAATTAAAGTATGACTCAGCTGGGACAATTCAAGGGCAAACCACTCTTGCTTATTTATAAAGGGGTATTTATAGTTATTTGAGGATGCTCTTAGGCCTGTATTTATTTCATGACACTAAAGGAAAAAAGATCATTTAGCCCAGTAAAGGGTTTCTACAGAAAAAGGAGAATATGGTGGTGGTGACCTATACATATACCAAGAGGAAAACTGGAGGTTAAAACTATTTAACTTCGGTGTAACAGATGAGAAGCATGGAACACACAAAAACAAAGTGTTTTCTAACAATAACCTTTCTGGTAACTTTCAACAAGTTAAAGAAGTTTTTTTTGTTCGTTTTTAATCTGGTAGTTTACATGAGGTTCTGATCCAAAGCAGGGCATAGACTAAGTGATTTCTTGAAACATTATGAAGATATTAAGTATTAGTCTATGAAAGACTATGGAATGGACAGTTACTTCCAACATCTTCTAAGTTCACATATAAGAGTTATTGAACAAACATCAAAAGACAAGGAGAAAGAGACAAACGTTTATTTTAAGGTCTTGGTAAGTTTTTGATACCTACCCTGGACTTTGAGTTACCCATTCCCATTTCTATATCCTTCTGAAGCCTTCTCCTTCTGCATTTGGGAAAGTTAATGATTCGCATGATGAAATAAACAAACGATTTTGGACTAGGAACTAGACTGAAGGGTGGAGGTAATGTTTTGCCATCATCAAAATATGATAACCAAAGTTTTGAACGAGCAAACTTCCATTCTACGTCACTGTCATCCTGTGTCATGAAAACAGAAAAGAAATAACTAATTTTAGAAACCAAACATTCTAGTAACTGATGCAGGTTCTTACAATGAAATATAAATTATGTTTTTGAAAAAGGTGATTTATACACATTTATCTACATATAATCTCAATAGTTCTACATAATATTCTCATTTTTCAAATAAAAAGATACTTGTTTTTTTTTTTATTTTTCTCTTCTTTATGCCTTTGTCTGTACCCACTGAAATTTAACCAGAATGTCCAGTCTGTCATCCAAAACAAAGCAAAAAGACAAGAAAAATTCAGAGGCCAGGAATAGAAAGGTTAATTCCTCCCTCCATCTCCTACCCCAGCCAATTATGCATGTTCAACAACAGTTCCCCACCCTCTACTCACCCTCCCTCTTCATCTAGACCCACCCAAGTCAGGTTGTAGACACAGCAAGGGCAAAGGAAAAAAAATGATACTCAGATGAATTGCTTTTTGGAGTTTATGTGTCTGCCACATAATCCCAAATGTCACGTAAGTGCCTCAGTAGCTTAGACCTGTCTTACATATCCTTCTATCCTCAGTGCTGCCCACGGTAACAGGCATAACCACCCTGAGTGATAAAAGAAATGAACCGGAGGTGCCCATGGGTGGAGGAAACTGGCTCACGCAGTTCACACAGCCCAGACGCCCATTACCACCCCCAAGCAGGTGTTCAGAGGACCAGAGTTTTTATTTACGGAGGACCTGACTTCTGCTCTGAGAACACAATATTATGAGTTTCTAAAACACACAGAGATTTGGTGGAGTTAACGAACAGCAAAGCACTACAAAGATACTGAACGCTAAACTGGAGGACAGAAGAAAACCTATTCACAACGGTGAGGAAGGGTCCCAAACCAAGCCTAATCCCAAACCAAAAGAATACTAAACATTCTGAATGCATAAACATCATCAGTCTTTGCTAAGCGGCTTGTAATTCTTCTACCGGGAAGAATGGCTGGCTGGCTAACCGAGGAGAGAATAATTTCCCTAGGGCCAATACTTTTTCTAGCCACTAATTTCAAAACTTCTGAAATATACCCTGAGAGAAGGCAGAGTGGTAGTAAATTCAGGGGTACCCCCGTGGTGCTCCTAGAAGACACTAGACAGTGTGTGACAACCTATCCAGGTGGCAAACACAGGGAAAGGTCTAGGCTCTCTCTACTTGGATCTAAGCCTCTTTGTCACATGAGCTGGAACTCCAGCAATAGCCTACAGAAGTAGATGTAGCCTGTTATCAGAATGGGATGACAAGCATACACACCATAGATAGAAAACAGGTTTACCTCAATTTCTTGGTAGGAGCTATTAATCATAGCAATTAGCATGTTGAGTAAAACGACCACCATAGTTACATTGTATATTCCATAAAGAACGTATCCAATATTCTCTATGAATTTGTGATCATATTTGAGCACAACGGAAGTCACTTCAGACAACCCAAATATTGACCAAAATAAAGTCTTGAAACTTTCTTCTACACTGTTGAAAAAATAAGGTACAAAGTAAGTAAATTAACAGTTTTCAGTATTAAAAAGTCAAAAGTAAAAACAAGTTAGCATCTGATGACTATACAGATGTAAAAGCATAAAATACTCCAAGAGTAGAATTATTTTGTTATGAATATTTAACAGAAATGATTCTCCCAGGTTTTCAGGACTGGTGATTAAATGGTGCTAATGCCTAGCTTTTTTGAGATTATCCTCAAGTGAAAATTCTCTGAATTCAGTAGGAGAAAGCTGAAGTCATATCACAGTGCCCATTCCTTTCTCCTAGAAGGACAGAAGTTTGGGGTTTGATTCTGCAGGTGGCTTAGAAATTAAAATCCGGTTTTCTGGAGTAGAACAAGGTTGGGATTAAAATTATATATCCACTTCAAAAAAAGTATGTACAGACATATTCCTTGCAGCATCATTTGCAGTAGAAAAGAATGAAAATAATCTAAATATCCATCAGTAGAGGGCAGGCTAAATAATTCTGCTACATCCATAAAATGGAATGCTATGCAGACATTGGGGGAAAATGAGACAAATTGGTCTTCATGTGTTTACATAAAATTATATCTGAGACATTATATTAAGTGAAAGAATAACATATAGCAAGTGTGAAATATTCCATTACTTGAATAAAAAAGAAGGGTATACAAATATTTATATTCTTGTTTATGTAAAAAATATCTCCAGAAGTATCCAAAAGAAACCATTGCCTCTGGGAACTTGGGAGGCTGAGGTGGGAGGATTGCTTGAGGCCAAGAGTTTGAGACCACCTGGGCACCACAAAAAGACCCATTTCTGAAAAAAATTTTAAAAATTAGCCGGTATGTATGCATATGCCTGTAGTCCCAGCTATTCAGGAGGCTGAAGTGGGAGGATAGCTTGAGTCCAGGAGTTTGAACTGCAGTGAGCTACGATCGCACCACTGCACTCCAGCCTGGGCGATAGAGTGAGACCCGTCTCTAGGAAGAAAAAAGAAGAAAGAAAGAAAGAAACCACTGCCTCTGGGAACTAAGGAGAACTACGAGACTAGGCCAAGGTGGAGAGAAGGACAGGCTTTTCCCTATAGACACCTCTCTCTCAATTGGAATTTTTGTCACAAGAATATATTACCTACCTAGAAATAATACTTAACTAGAAATGAAAGACTCCTGTTCTTTCCCTTTAATTTATATAATCTACTTCCTGATTCTTCTATCTCAACAATTAGCACTTAGGCTCTCATCAGACTAATTACCTACTTTTGTCCTTTCAATCTGCAGTCCCCAACTCTCCCCTCCCCAGCACCTGCACAGTATGTGGCCTGCTAAGAGGCCTGCACAGCAGGAGGTGAGAGGCAGGAAAGCTAGAGCGAAGCTTCATCTGTATTTACAGCTCACATCACGGCCTGAGCTCCACCTACCGTCAGAACAGTGATGGCATTAGATTCTTACAGGAGCGTGAACCCTACTGTAAACTGCATGTGTGAGGGATCTAGGGTGTGTGCTCCTTATGAGAATCTAATGCCCGATGATCTGAGGTGGAGCTGAGGCAGTGATGCTAGTGCTGGGGAGCAGCTGCAGATACAGATTATCATTAGTAGAGAGGTCTGACTGCACAGAGACCATAATAAATCAATTGCTTGCAGACTCGTATCAAAACCCTATCAGTAGGCTGGGCGCGGTGGCTCAGGCCTGTAATCCTAGCACTCTGGGAGGCTGAGGCAGGAGGATAGCTCGAGGTAAGGAGTTCGAGATCAGCCTGAGCAAGAGCGAGACTCGTTCTCTACTAAACAATAGAAAGAAATTATCTGGACAACTAAAAATATATAGAAAAAATTAGCCAGGCATGGTGGCACGTGCTACCATGCTACTCAGGAGGCTGAGGCAGGAGGATCACTTGAGCCCAGGAGTTTGAGTTTGCTGTGAGCTAGGCTGACACTATGGCACTCTAGCCCGGGCAACAAAGCGAGAACTCTGTCTCCAAAAAACAAACAAACAAAAAAAAACCCATCAGTGAGTGGCGAGTGACAATGTAATAATAATAGAAATAAAGTACACAATAAATGTAATGCGCTTGAATCATCCACAAACCATTCCCCCCGTCATCTGTAGAAAAATTGTCTTCCACGAAACTGGTCCCTGGTGCCAGAAAGGTTGGGGCCTGCTGCTTTAAATGACCTTTGGCAACACGTATTTGGCTGATTTTGTCATATAACCAAGTTGCAATCACTCATCGGTGAACCAAATAAATAATCCTTAAACAGTGACATAGGTAAAATTCCATCTTAAACAAAGGTTCAAAATAAGTCTTTTTCCAGAGAAAGATTTGTGGAAATAGTACTTTTTAAAATTTGTTATAGCAGATTCTAAATAACAATGAATTCTATAGATTTGTAGGTTTAAGTGCTAGCTTATTTATTAATTTATTTATTCAAAAAATATTGATACATCCGGGGGATGGACACGCTTGAAGCTCGGACTTGGGGGCGGGGCAAGGGCAACATACATAACCTAAACATCTGTACCCCCATAATATGCTGAAATAAAAAAAGAAAAAATATTGATGGAGCACTTATGTTCTAGAAATTTTGCTAGACCCTGGGGATAGAGAGTTGAATAGAAAGGTTTCTATTCCTACAGAGTTACCCTTTATTACGGAACGTTTGATTGCATGATGTTATAGCATAGACGCTGATAGGGGACTAAGAAAAACCACAAGCTCTTTGTTCCCGCTGTTTATTTAACTGTATCACAAAATTCTCCTGCCCCTTCCTCTTGCTCCTTGGCAAACCTTCCTGCCACTAACTTCTCTTCGAATCTATATGGAGGACGTGTGTGCATGAGGGAAAAAAAGGAAAGGACACTGGCAATTCTGAGCTCCTACTGTGGGCAAGAGGCTTTATATAACTTAACTTACATAATCTTCACAATGACCTTATTTAAACCTTATGGTGCTTATTTTAAAAAGAAGGAAATTGACACTGAGAAATGTTCAGTAACTTAATCAAAGGCCACAGCTAGAAACTAGCAGAGAATGCATTCAGATCCAGGTTTGCCTGACTTTCCAGCCTAGGTTCTTTCCACCACATCATGTTGCCACTTTCCAAAACAAAACAGTGAGGAAAATGTAATGTATAAAGTGAGTTACCATAGAGTTAAAAGGAGGAAGGGAGCAAGAGTGGCACTGGGTGTAGGATCATTCTGTCCTTTCTCCACTGGGTTAAAACAGATTTTTTTCTTCATTATAATAAAATGAGTTTCAAGTCTCTTTCACCCCTAAGACCTATTCTATATTAACTATTTTGAAAATGCATTTCAGAACAATCCAGACGCTTGCAAGGACTTGATATTCTACTTTAGTCAACAGGGAACTTATTAAATGTGTAGTTTGTTTCTAGTTGTTACATTTTAGGGAACAAACGGAGAGCAGGGAGGGTTTATGATATCCCCACTTGGGAGGACTCCAACACAGAGAGAGTGCCCCACCTCTGTGACACCCAAACACCAGTGGCTGAGAAAGGCCCTCACAGTCTGGATGTCTCCGTGTTGAGGGATCTTAAAGGGACAATGACTAAGGAAGCCTAATCAAGGAAGACTTCATGGAGGAGTTGGGTCTTCAGTGCAGAAACCAGTATGATCAAAGGAAGGAAGCGGTAGAACTGTTCTAGTGGGCTGTGAAACATGTAGTGATAATTTCCCCTTACTCAACTCCCTGTATTGATCAGTAAATACATTAAAACAGAAGCTTCTTTTTCGAAAGAGTAGTACTGGCTACAAAATGATAAAACCAAATTTAATGTCATACATAATGTAAGAGACCCCAGTATTAGAAATTTGTTATCCCATTCTCCTAAAATAGCCAGTTTTGTCTAGAGTTTTTCAAAACTGTGATCCATTCTGTGGTCAGACACTCACTAAGCTCAGAGATGAGCTTTCGGAGAAATGTAATCACATACAAGCACTAACTGTTTTTAATGGATTTTTTTTCCTGCTCTTAAAAACATATTTATTATAATCATTCAAATTTTTCCTTTGTTTCATCTAGAATTGTTAAAATTTCTCTTTATGATACCTTTTTAATAAGATGTCTTACTTACGTGGTAAAAGCAGCATTTACTTTAGCCCCAAGGTAGTAAGAATAAAGTATGAACATGCCAATCATAAAGGCAAGAAACACCATGATAAAGAGGACCATGAACTTGAATATGTCCTTTACAGTCCTTCCAAGAGAGATCTGCAAGGGGCCAAAGCTCTCATTTGCAGGGAGGATGTACGCGATCCGAGAGAAGCTGAGCACAACAGCTATGGCATAAAGGCCTTCAGATATGATCTGAGGGTCAGAAGGGAGCCATTTATCTCTAGCTAGAAAAAAGAAAGAAAGAGATTAAAAATGGAGCCTTCTATTCATTGCTAACTATTCAAAGTAAATACCTTAAATAGGATCTATCTTATAGGTAGGTAGTTATCATCTCAGTTGAAACTACTCTAGATTTAATTATTAATAACTGTTCAGGCATTATTTTTTCACGTTAAACCAGAAACATAAATTCTACATTACTTTCAGTGGAGGAAATACCATTATAAAGATACTAAGTTGACTTACATTGAGCAGAAACAGAATAAAATATAAAAGTTGAAGAAAGGTTTTAAAAGACTTCATAGACACATAGATTGTGACCAGGATGACAAAACAACTGACCTGACTGATTTGCCCCCTAAGTTGTTAGAGTTATTGACCAAGTATTTTGTCATCCTATAGGCACAGCTGGAGTGAAACTTATTTTCCATATTTTGTGGGGAAATTAGTTCATCTAACTGTTTATCCAAATAAAATGTCATATTGCAAGGAGTGAGAATGTCACTGAATCACAATGGCGCTGATGATATCTGAGCAATATAATTTGTCCCTAGAAAACGTAAAACGCCATTGAAGTGAAAAAATTTTGGATACAGATGCTGAATGAGGACCCCTAACAGCCTTTTCAAGGTCATTTATTAAGTTTGTAGCAGACCTGGCGGTGAAACACTACGTTAACTTTGTATGAACTGAGTCACTCCCAAAAGAATGGATGCATTGTAGACATTTGGAACAACAACAAAAATGAATATTTCTTCAATGTTTAATAGGTGTCAGACACTGCTTTCAGTGACCCTATGGATTTGATGTTATTATTATCGTCTTTTTACAGGTGCAGAAATCAAGACTTTGAAAGGTTAAAAATTCGATCAAAACCAATCATAAATTCTCCTCCAAATAGGCTCCAAATACACACGAATAAATTTAAGTAAACAGATTACGAAACAGGATATATATATCACACATCAATACAATCTAACTTAATTCTTTAATTACAAATGGTGATCATTTGCTCATTTGAATGGGTCTCCTTGGTACATAAAAATCTTTGCTGACGTTAAGAGATACATGTTTCAATTTCACAATGTGTGAAATTTACATCTTATATTTTGTAGCAGGAATCCATCCTTCAATAATGTTAACATGGCTTGTACTCGTAACAACTAAGCCCAAATTACACTCATAAAGAGTTGTATTTCACAACAAAAACACATTTAAACTCTGTGCCTGAGTTTCCTTACTTATAAAATGAGGATTCGCTGATACTTTCTAAAGCCTTTTCCAGATTTAAGATTTTACAACTATATGAAATTTGCTAACTGCAGCTCCTCAATTTGGCCTCAGGGGAAGCAGGGCTAACATCACCAGGGCTTTGTGCTGGGCAAGGAAGGCATCAGTATCTTTGCATACTGGATGGCAGCTGCTCTTCGTGATATAGAGGAGTTCGGCACGCACCCCATTCCATGCTATGTGAAAAGCACAACATCCTCTCCAGTATTTCTGCTGGTTCTCCAGAGCTTACCTTCTCATGGTCACTTTAGCACCACTTCCTGCCTCTGCTGAATTTTTGTTCACTTTGCCTGCAGAGCAGTTCGGCACCTATTACCATCTTACCTCTTCGAATCCATGCAGTCAGGCGCTCACCTTCCACATCAAGCAGTTTATCAAGCTATTTTTTTCCCTAACCAAGACAGGCTCCTGCTCTAAGAGTAACTATGTTGTTAGGCTTAAAGGTAATTTTCTCCCACCTTGCAAAATCTTCTTTTTATAGGTATGAAAACTGAGGCACGGAGAAACAAATTAACTTGAACAAGGCCACGCAGCAAGGGAGAATCATAGCCTGGATATGAATCTACTTTTGTAAAGCTCCAAAGCTCATGCTGTCTCTCTCCACTGTCCATAAACATTCAACACACCCCTCGTATTAAACATACTCTTAATTGGACTTTCCTTCCAAAATGGGCTTCCGATACCCTTCCTGAAACCTAAGAGGGCCTTGCAGCTAACGACTTACCGTAAGTGAAATACTGTATCTCTGGGGGGAGTGTGACTTCACTGAGGTCGCTCTCCTGAACATAACTGTCCACATACTGTTGTGCTTTCGTTGCCTGAAGGAAAGCTAGGAATCTGGCCGTGAAAGCAGCGATGAAGATGGAGAGCATCCCGAAGTCAAGCACGTTCCACAACTGCAAAATGTACTCCCTAGGTCCTTCCAACCAGAGCTCCTTACACTCAGACCACATCATTCCTGCCACAACAAATATGGAGGGTACGGGTTAGTTTTATAGCTTAGACTGAGAAGCCATTATTTTGTTCCCCATCAGGCCACATCTCTAAAACGTCCTGTCTACAAAGCACTGTACTAGGCATCACAAAGCACCGACTGACTGTCCCTGACTGTCCACTCACCAAAGCCCTGGGTAGAGTTAAATGGAAGCAGCAGCTTCCACTAAGGAAATGATTCCTACCAAGTTGGAATTGGGAGAAACAGAGTACTACAAGTGGCACCAGAAATGTCTCTATTCTTATACAGGTGGAGGGAGGGCAGGAAGGAGCGAAAGAAATAAACCAGCAAGGCTCTTCAAGTAGAAGGATTTTGCCTTTTAAGACTTTTGGAGCATAGAAGAAAATGCAGTTATCAAACCATAGTGATTACTGAAGAAATAAGGCCCCAAGATTTTTAACAATAAGACCAATTTCCCAATCGTCCACGAACACTTACATCATGCCCCTAACTTCTCCTCTCATTTCCGCTTCATGCTGAGGAAGTGACTAACATAATTTGAAAAAGACAATATCCTTAAGTAGGAGGTTCTAAGACATTATGAAGAAACTGAAAGCAGAAAATGCCATTCTGGGACAAGAAGTCAAAACATTCCAATGTAACAAATTGTCCTGATTATATAAGGGGAAAATATTGTGGAATTTTAAAAAGAAATGTTGTGTCTCAAGTAAAATTCATAAAATAATTACTTGACCCAGGCTGAGGCCACAGGAGTAAATGAACTAGAGAAGGAACTAACCTATTAATTCAGGAAATGAGAAAATACCAAGAATCCCAATGGATGAAATAGAAAAAATATACAAAAACAACTCTGGATTCATAATCAATAGACAAAAATCGGTTCCAACTTCTGGGTATTAGGATGGTGAAAAATGAATCCTGTTTCTTGCATTACTTCAAATTTTTACTTTAACACCTCTTTTCAAAATGTAATTGTGAGGTGAAGTAACAAATATTCTGAAAATGAAAATTCTTCTAAAATCTTTGGCACTAAAGCAATATAAAAGTTATTTAGTCATCAGTTAAGTTTCCTTATAGCTACCGGGTTATTTCACAACTATTTCAATTAAATGATTGATTACCAAAGTGAGTCACATTTAAAAACTTACATTTTGTTCAATAATTGAAGTTAGATTTCTGAAAAAAAAAACATGTTTGTTTGTAATGATGAGGCTCAAGGTATTCATAAAAAAATTCATTTAGTGTTAAGGGATACATTTTAGCATTATCTAGCTACCAAATTTTTGATTATTTTGCTATTCAGCTTATTTTACAATGGTGATGTTGTCACCATATAAGACATAATAACATTTTTTAATAGAAAATGACCGTCATTTATATAATTATTTTTTGGTAGAAATCAGGGTACTTAAAAGGCTTACCAAGAACCCAGACCATAATTAACATTTCCGTCCATGTGAACTGGGTAGTTTTCACCCTGAAGATCTGTTTGGGATAATCAATAACAGTGATATTGGGCAGCGTGGTGATGCCTTCGAACCTGTCTGAGGCATTGAACACAAGCAGGCCCAGGAAGATGATGAAGGAAGCCGCGTGTGCCACAAACTTCATAAAAGGGCTTCGCAGAATTTTCCCCAGCTGTAACAAAATGGGAAAGGTTTGCTTTAGAAAATCTGGCTTCTGCTTGTGACAACTATTATACAGGGTTAAAAAAACAGATGAAATTGAGGACACTCAAAATTCTGCTTCTGTTTCTATATGGTGAAAACTATTCTTTACAGATGGATGCTTCCTCCAAAAATAATTTAATTAGGTCTTCAAAATTCATTGTTTCTACGTCTTAAGATTTGTCTTAGGATAGACTGCATTCTCACAGAGGCACTTCTGGAAATCACAGGGCCTATCCTGGTTCCTGCTCTTATTTTTACATGAAAGATTATGTGAAGACAAGGCTTTTAGGGTCTAGGAAAAGACTCTAAAAGTTTGTACTGTGTAATTCTTTATTGCTTTGTAATTGAAATGTTATGATGAGTTTGTAGACTCATATAGGACATTAAAAACCCTTTAAAGATTAAAAAAAAATTATTACTACAGAAGTAAATTTTAGTTCTCATTTCCAAATATTCCAAAATCAAGTTATACTTTATATGCTATAAAAAAGCAGAAAATATTAGAATCAAGATAAATATTCTATCTGTTAATACCCCCCATAAAATAGGGAGATATATAATAATTAAAATCTCTAAGTAGGTTAACTTAATTAAAGTCATCTCTGAGTTTGAAAAATCATGTAAATAGTACAAAAGCACTTCCAAAGTTCAGTTTATAATTATTTTAAGGTGACTTCTTAAAAATCCCCTGTGATATAATGTCCTTAAAAGTCCCACGTTCTAATAAAAATGAAAAACAATTCTTCCTGTCCCGAGGGTTTCCACAGTCCAAGAATTAGGTACATTTGGGAGAGTTATCAAATAAGTTCTCTATTCTACATACACCGACCCTGCTTTTCATCTGTCTGTGACCTTAAAAAGTACTGAGGTTCACATTTAAGACTGCAACTTCAAACGAATGTTTTGTAGGTCCAGAACCTTAATTTGATGTCAACAAAAGATCAAAGAATGTCAAGCATTTCTGGGATTGAACATGAATGCACATGGACAAATGTCACATTTTCCATATTAGACACAGAGAAATAAACAACAACACATTTACACATCACTCTGCTGTTACACAGCTGCAAAGAGGGCATGCTTGGAATAGCTTATCCACAGCACATAGAGATTTCTTGGGGATTGCCAAGTCTGTTTCTTCTAAAGGTTGATCTTTTAAAACTTTAAATAACATGAAAAGAAAGCAGCATGCCTATCTTAAAAATGGGATATATGTGGAGGATTCTTGTTATGTTGCCTTTACTGTAAGATAGGTGGTATGCCGTAACTATAAACGCGGGCTCCAGAAATGAATTCCCACGTTTCCCTTCTCTGCTCAGCAGAGCTCACCACACTGTTACTTGCACTTTTACAAGCAAAGAGAAAAAATGAGTGGACCTCAAAATGCCTACTTCGAACTTAACTCATTCAGCTGCCCTAAGAGACAATCACTTCTAAACTTGAAGTTTCTAATTCATTTCCTCCAGAAAGGAAAATTATTAGGGTGGGATATGATTTTTTGCTTTATTGCATACTCTTGTATATTATTTACAGTTTTTAGTCTTTAGTGTTTATTTGCAGAACCTTAAAGTACTTTTCCATGATACATAACAAAAGAACTTAGTCAAGTCATCAAACTTGATCAAAATGACAAACTTTCTGCCTTAAATTGCATGGGCAACTCAACACTGAAGTGAGACAGATGGATATTCTTGCACGTATATGGCGCCTGCAAAGCAGGACTCTGCCAGGGAGACTGCTGAGCCAGAGAGTTGACAGATTTCCAGGATCATTTGTAAGTGGCCTTGACTCATTTTGCCTGAAACTACCTCTGATTTAAACAAAACCAGATTTCGGGATATAAAAACAGGATTAAAGGATCTCGGAACAGCTCCTTCTCTCTGGCAGTGCCCTTTATTAACCTGATACAGATTCCGTTAGCATGACTAGTATTCCTTTCCACATCTTGTTTAAGGGATCTCTTAGGCACAAATAAATTGACTTGACACTGGCAAGTTGAGAGGAGACTAAAGGTACTGAACAAAACGATCCAAGCAAAACTAAATAAACCATCTAAAAAATTCAAAACTCCCAAACCCCTATTCTAGCTTTTTTAGAACTTTCTGAAGGAACAAAGGGCTAGGGGAACCCGACATGTACTTTCTTGAAGACTTTGGATAACACCACTGTTCTCAATTGTGCTTAATGCACTCAGCCTTAGATTTCTTCTAACAAGTCCAAGTGAGTTGCTGTTCTAGTTCCCAGGTTAACTGTTTCTTGATCCTACTACAGTAGGGCTATCTATTCCTCTTTCCTTACACAGCCAGCCCAGTCGACATTTTACTTACTAATCTGTCAATAAAATTGGCACCAGTGCTACTTCACTCAAGCAGCTTTTTCTCCTCTCTGTCTACCACGGGGATTTTATCTTAAAAGCCTAAGTATTTTATGCCTGCATATGTGATCTATTCCACTAGTACCAAATCCTTTTTCATTCTTATTTGATTTGATCCAGTCATTAAAAAGCAGAATCCGTGTTCTTCAATCAATTAACATTCAGGATAAAACTGATAAGAGCCTAAGTATGAAGTTTCTTCTTTTTTTATACAAAAGGGACACGGTTCACCAATCACATAGGAAACAGGTGTAGGAAGCCAGTACCCTGCTGCAAGGTGCAATCCAGTAGCCAATGGCGAGGAATGGAAGGCCCAAGGCCACGACCAGCACAACTAGACACTTGATAGCTATGGTCTGTTCCCGCAAGCCCGAGAGGTTCTCGTACCAGATTGTCAAGAGCTGCTGCTGGCAGTTGGGGTGAGCCACAAACTGTTGGGTGAGAGAAAGAAAGAGAGTTAGAGAAGAAGAGAGAGAGAGAGAGAGAGGGGTAGGTCCCTATCACTGTCAACAGTTCAGCTACTGAATACATGTGCATCCTAAAGATATTAATGCATATTTTCCCAGAATGCAGGCACTGGAAGGTTCTGATAGTATTCTTCTTTGCCTTTCCTCCATTTTTCCCTCTGTGGAATCTGAGTGATAATTGGTTTCTTTTGTGAAAATGTGTCCCATCTTGCTGCCTTCAGCTTACTTGCATTCAGTTCAAAATGGAAAAGGAAAAAATGTTATTTGGTTTATCTTAGACTATAGCTAAAAGAGAAATGTGTTAAGTTTCAGGAGCAACCCCTAAAATGCTACATGAATGAAAAAGGCATACATGATGTACCCTATGTGTATGTATGTACTATTACTGCAAATCCACAAAAGATCTGAAAAAATGTCAATGAACCTGCAGATTTTATGCTGTTTCCAGGAACTGGCATGAAATGCTGCTTCCCTCCTATTTCTGTAATCTGTTCTCTTTCATTGCTTCCTCTATCAAAAGGTCAAAAGAACACAAACATTTATCTTCAACAGTTCTTTAATAATTACAGTTCTAATCATGAAAAATGAGCAAATTATACTCATTTCAGCCCAGCCATTCAATTTTTTTTTTCCATTTGATTTTGCTAAGTCATCTGTCTGCATCATTTTGAGGGACTGGGACTTCTTTTTTTTTTTTTTTTGAGACAGAGTCTCACTGCGTTGCCCAGGCCAGAGTGCCGTGGCGTCATCCTCGCTCACAGCAACCTCAAACTCCTGGGCTCAAGCGATCCTCCTGCCTCAGCCTCCCGAGTAGCTGGGACTACAGGCATGCGCCACCATGCCCGGCTATTTTTTCTATATATTTTTAGTTGTCCAATTAATTTCTTTCTATTTTTAGTAGAGACGGGGTCTCGCTCTTGCTCAGGCTGGTTTCGAACTCCTGAGCTCAAACAATCTGCCCGCCTTGGCCTCCCAGAGAGCTAGGATTACAGGCGTGAGCCAACGCGCCCGGCCAGGACTGGGACTTCTTTAAGGCCCTGTCCTTATGCAGGTAGCAGAATGTATTTGTAGTCAGGCCCACGTAAAGGTTAAAGCTCCCTATGTCAAAGGTGCCCATTTGTAGCTAGATGTGCCTTTTTTGAATGGCCACATGCGCTTTGTCCAAGCTTGATAATTACTAAGAGTCATTAAAAAATCAATTATGAGTGCCAATATATTTTTCAAAAGGAGATTCTTAGCAACACAAAAATCAAGGTATCACTATCTTCTAAAAAACAGAATAAACAATAACAATGAACCTGTTAGGAAGTACCCATGAAATGTTTTTGGAAACGTTTGCTAGGAAAGGCAAAGAGAGCAGCTAAGGTTCCCATTTGTCAAAGGGTTCCTCTTTAGTCAAGTGCTAGTGAATGATTCTAATGATTCTTGGTAACTCCAGGCAATTCCTCAATTTGGTTATTTATCAATAGCACACCTACAAAGAAATGGGCAGGTTTCCACTTACTGCTACATAGATTCCCATCAGCAATTCTTTTTACATCTCCCCAACACCCCATCAGCAATTTTAATTTAAAAAAAGAGTCTCATCTCTCAGGGTAGGCAATGGAGACACAATTTCCTTCAAATCCCCATTCTTGCCCTGGCATGCAACCCCCTCTTGGGGAAGTCCACTGATGACCACTCTGGCAGCTGCCCCTGCACCACTGTGCACGAGAATTTAACAGAGGTGGTAAGAAGACATTTATGATATTTAGAGTTGAAATACTTAACTGAATTCTTTGCAATAATACTAACTAGTAGTTTAGGTGGGATAAGATTGTTGCTTTATTACATGCTCTCTCATTTATAATTTTAAGTCTTTAGTGTTTATGTATTTGAAGAATCTTAAAGTAATTTTCTATGATGTATAGCAAAAGAACTTAGTCAAGTCATCAAACTTGATCAAAATGACAAACTTTCTGCCTTAAATTGAATGGGCAAACCAACAATGGAGTGGGACGGGTGGATGTTCTCTCCTGTATATGGGGGGTTTAAAGTACTACAAAGAAGACGCTATCTTTTCTTGCTCAGTGACTCAATGTGGAAAAGCATATTGTTATGACTGAATGTTTGTGTTCCTCCCAAATTGATACATTGAAATCTCAATCCCCACAGTCATGGTATTAGGAGGTGGGGCTTTGGGGAGATTATTAGGTCATGAGGTGGAGCTTTCATGAATAGGATTAGCGCTCTTATAAAAGAGACCCCAGAGAAATGTCCAGCTCTTTTTTCCATCACGTGAGGGTAGATGAGAAGTCTGTAACCCAGAGGAGAGCCTTCCCGGGAACTCGACCATACTGGCATCCTGATCTCAGACTTTAGCCTCCAGAACTGAGAGAAATAAATTTCTGTTGTTTATAAACTACCCAGTCTATGGTACTTTGTTATAGCAGCCTAAACTGAGTAAGATACATATTTTTATCTTATAAATTCCTTTTAATTCAGTTCTAAAAATCCCAGGTCCTGATGTTCAGTAGTCATTGCTAATTGCTAAATATTAATATATATTAGATCTTCTCTCCAAACCCAAGATTTTGTGACTTTTCCAAGGTTCTGATTTTGAAAACAGTATGTCACAAACCAAGGCAGTCCTTATTTGAACTGATAAAATGTGTGGATATAGTCAAGGCTGAAGACTTCATGGGTCTATGTGATGACTTTTTAGGATTCTTGCTGAGAACTTCAAACTTCCACTTCTGTCCCCGTACTGTATTTGGATCATTTCCTTCCTGTGTCATACCTCTCTCTACAGTTTATGAATGTCCATCTCATTCATTCATTCACTCATCAAAATGTCTTAAGTCCCTCTTAGGAGCCAGGCACTGTATTAGTACAAGAAAACAAAAATGGGAGTAACCGTGTCGCATTAAGTGATAAGCAGTCATTCTGGGGCACACAGAAAGAAACTCTGAACAAGTGCAAAATAAGATCTTTTAATTGGAGACTTGAACTCAAATGCTTGTCAAGAGACCCAATCAGAATTTAAAATAGTCTTAATTTGAATGTTGATCTAACTGTCTTGGTATTTGGAGGATATGCATATGTAAGAAGTTAGATGGATGCAAATAAAAGATATCCTTGATATTACTGGTGACTGCGGCCAGGCTAGGCTTAGGACAGGTAATGATACATTCAGACAAAACTAGAGGAGCATATAATGACATCAAATCAGATTATCACTTGAGAAGTCAACCATGCACTTTTTTTTTTTTTTTTTAATGAGCCAAGGGTTTCTACATGACACAAAATCCCATGAAGTTAAGAGACAGGTAGGCATGTGTCCATATGGGATTGATGGACAAATTTCCCTTTTGTGAGTGTCTGGTGGCCATGGTTTGAATGTGTCCTTTCCAAAATGGTGTTGCCAATGTGATAGTATTAAGAGGTGGGGCCTTCAAGAGATGATTAGGCTATGAGGACTCCCCCCTTGTTAATGGTATTAAGACCCTTATAAAAGAGGCTTCATATAGCAGTTGGCTAGCTTGCTCTTCTGCCATGTGAAGACATAGCATTTCTCTCCTCTGAAGGATACAGCCCTCACCAGAAAACCAAACCTGCTGGTGCCTTGATCTTGGAATTTCCAGCTTCTAGAACTGTGAGAAAATAAAGTTTTGTTCTTATAAATTATCCCGTCTCAGGTATTCTGTTACAGCAACACAAATGGACTAAGACACTGGTCTTTCTCAGGTTTTAAACTCTTGAGGACAGAAATATTAGTGTTGTAATAGAACTCCTTTTACCTGCTCCTTCTCCTTGGGCTAATCTTTAAATTCGAAGATGTGCTTTATGGCATTAATTACATCTATATAAAAATTTCACAGCTTCAAAGATTTGATGGAAATCAAACCTTTTCATATGGCACACATGGGTTGATCAATTTTTGACTTGATGTAACTTGTATAACACAGGGCAAACACTATATGTTAAATACTAGCCAAAATTGTAGTGTTTGCATTTTACCAGTCACACTTTAAGATTCACCTTAACAGGCCTGCTACTAATTCTACTCTTTTCTTATTTGAAATAATATTATAATATACCACCTCATGGACTCTGTTGATTCTTTTTAATTCACATAAACATATTTTCTTCCAGTGATTTAAATCCTAATTCAAGTATACAAGGGGCATTTTAAAAAAAAAAAAAAAAAAAGTAAAACCAATCCAGTAATAGCAAGTGAAGGCAAAAAAAGCTAATCCCTCTAGGAGATGATTTTTGCTCTTTTCAATGACTTCAAAATAGGGCAGTGACCTTTATCCCTTAAAACTGTTTTACCTTCTGAAAAATCTCCTTATGTTACCATACCAGTCATGGCCAGCTGGATAAAATTTGTATGCCATTTTCCAACTTCAGTGGACCAGCAAATTGAAGTCATCACAAAAATAATATTCTTATTTGAGGTTTTCTGATTGAAAAGGAGAATGTTTGACACAAGAAAATATCAACCTTTCAATGAAACAAAACTACCATAGCATTCATTACAAACTTTTTTTTTCCTCTTCCAGATGACTAATAGATTTTAAACTGAACCACCAATCAAAGCAGGTATGGAAAATAATTTAATTTTAAACTTAAAGAAAACTCCATGTTACACTGTTCTTTTCATCAAATCAGCCTTCACAAGAACTGTCTTCATGGGAATACTATTGTGCAAAAACATGGTAGAAACACTCTGTTTTTGTTTTTAATGACACTGTTAGAGCCAAAATTCATATAATTTAAAAGAAAATATTCTTGTGAATAAAAACTGAACAATGCACCTTTTTTCAAAGCTCATTGAATTGTGAAATATAAAGTAAAAACTTACATTAGACAAGTTTTCTGGATTTTTGAACTTGTCAAGTGCAAAATAATCTTTTATCTCTTGGTGCCTGAGTGCAAACCAGGACAAGAGGCTGCATAGGGCAGGAGTCAGGACCGTGTCTGCCAGTGCTTTCACCCGAAAGGCTCTGCAGAGTACTTAACGCTCTCTCAATGCATTTCTCAAATTCTGGGTTTCCCCCCACACTTTCTGCACAGAAAGTAGATACACTATGGGTAATTCAATCTGTTTATATTGCTACATGTCTCTTTTTTAGGTGAATTTTCTACAGTAAACCTAATCCCACTATGGAGGAAACAGGAGAGCAGGGAGGAAGAACGCAGGAAATGTTCTGCTCTTTCTCGAGAGTCCAGTTGTCCAGATTCAATGGTCTACCAAGTTCTAGTACCTTTTGTCAGGAACTTTCTTACAATAGGCATAGCTCATTATGAAGTAGGTAGAGCTCTTTTTATTTCTATTGAAGTGAGGAGGATTTATGTTCAGCTTCACATTGCAGGGCAGGACAGAGATATAGTCAGAATTATAACTCAAGACTTTGGGGGAGGGGCAAATAATCCATTATTCTAATTGGACAAAATTAGTGTTTTTGCCTAAAAGTTAATTTTCTTGTACCCATTTTCAGAAAATCAAATTTCATCTTCCACTCTATTCCATTCTCTTTTTATAAAATAATGTGGGTAGGCACACATTATTTTATAAAGATTGATATTCTTAATACGCAAAGAGAAAAACATTTTTCCCAATTTGCCCTGCACTTTTTTGTTTATGCTCTTTCTGATGCAGTCAGAGGTTTTAAGTTGTATGTGGTCAATTTTTTATATTTTTGCTTTAAGATTGTTTCTGCTGCTTTTATATTAGAAAGCCCTTTCCAACACAGACATTAAATTCATGGTCATATATCTCCTATTCTGGTCTTTTATATATTCATTTTGTGAGTTAAGCGTCACTGAGCCCTGTAAGGCCTGGGCTGAACTCATGTTCTGATTCCTAGGGAAGACCTGAGCTCTGGAATTCTGAGCCCAGATAGAAGCCAACAGACTCAGAACCAGAGCTGGTGGTAGATCTTGGGCAGGAGGCAGAAGAGAGACTTCCTGAGTCCCATATGGGGCCTACACAGCTATCATTACATAAAACTCGTTTCCTTGGTGGAATTATGGGTTGATTTGAATAAATATGAGTTTATTATGTTATAGGGGTTGGGGTGGGGTGGGAAATCCATAACATACAAGGTTAGTTTGAAATCCCAATGGCTCATATGTAGCCATAGACTACCTTTATGCCACATTGGGTAGGGTTCATGCATCCTCGTAACTCAAGAGGTCGTTTTGCTTGGGGACTAGAAATAAGATGGTAGAAAAAGGAAGCAGCAGGAGGGGGTCGAGGTAAAATTCTTCCTCCTTGCTAGAGTGGAGATGGGTGAGTGTTGAGTGAAAATGAAGGAAGCCCTGGAGAGGAAGAAAGAAAGGAGAAATTGGGACTTTTGGGTGCATTACAGAATAGAGTTCTTATATACATTATTGTGAAGATTCCAAGTCAAAGACTTTAACTAATATTCCTTTTGTAGCAGAAAACAAACATAACCAGAAATGCTTACAAAGTCCTACATCTCCTGTCAGTCTAAATACTTTTTTTTGGTTTTCTGGTGGTTGACTGATAGCAAATTTATTATTAACGACACCTCATACATTGTAACCTACACACCATTTGTTTAAAATTAACATGCAGGAAGACATTCACTTGTCAAGACAGTTTGGTTAACAGAAGCACATCTGTAGATGAGCTATCTCTGCTAATATGACACTTTTAAAGCAATGATAAAAAACCAGTGGCAACTGAAATCAATTCTCTCCTCTCAGATGCCAAAGAGAATAAATACATATTGCAAGATCTGTGAATATATGCCAAGATGGTTTTATAAAAAATGGTTTACTATCAATCTTTTTGTTTTTTTTTTGGAGACAGAGTCTCGCTCTGTTTCCTGGGCTAGAGTGCCGTGGCATCAGCCTAGCTCACAGCAACCTCAAACTCCACGGCTCAAGCAATCCTCCTGCCTCAGCCTCCCAAGTAGCTGGGACTACAGGCATGCACCACCATGCCCGGCTAATTTTTTCTATATATATATTTTTAGTTGTCCAGCTAATTTCTTTCTATTTTTAGTATAGATGAGGTCTTTCTCTTTGCTCAGGCTGGTCTCCAACTCCTGACCTTGAGCTTTCCTCCTGCCTTGGCCTCCCAGAGTGCTAGGATTACAGGCATAAGCCACCGTGCCTGGCCTCAATCTTGTTCAAAATTATCTTTTTCCCTCAGTACAGCAGAACCTTAACTAGAAAGAATGCTCTGAGAGTAGGAAAGTCTAGCCGATTTAATTATCTTGTAACTGATAATTTCCTTGAAAAGTTATTTTATTTCTATCTTTACTGAAAATCTTCACATTTGACTGTCTTAAGAGGGGAGATCTGTCATTAATGGCTGACCAAAATCTTGTAAACATTACATGTGGAAGTTCTCTACATTGTGGTAACATGTGTGTGTGTGTGTGTGTGTGTGTGTGTATGTGTGTGTGTGTGTGTGTGTATGCAGAGAGAGAGAGAGATTTCTTCATCTTTACTTGCTGCTGGGTTCAAACACTGGCTTTGGTTCCACTGATCAGAGGCATTTTGACCAGTGGGAGGGGTCATATGATAACAGGTATGACTCACAGCATCCTTTCTGCTGATGCAGGAACCAGCTATCTGTAGCACAGGCAGAATTGTTCTGTTTGGGCCACAGAAACTCCTTTACCAGGTCAGTTCTGGGTCTAGTTCTGGGTGAGGTTTCTGGAAGCACAGATCAGATCAGCTTGTTCCTCCACCTCTCATTAGAATTCTGTGAGCTTCCCCAGTATCCCTTATCAAACTCCTTCCTGCTTAGAGTGGCTATGGTCTGCTACTAAGGACTGGAACCAGTACAAGGAGTATGATAACTGCCTTTGATGACTGAAGATTGAATTTGCTTAAAAGTCATCATTCAGAATGTGAAGTTTCATAATGTAGAAATGTTATTAGCTAATACTTATTAAACAATCACCATGTACTACCCTGTGCTAATTATATGCATTATCTCATGTAATCCTCAAACAATTGCATAAGTAGGTACTATTATTGTCCTTTACTAATGAGCAGACCAAGGCTTAGGTGGTTAGGTGACTTGCCCATGGTCACACAGGGAATGCCTGGTGACATCAGGGCATGAACCCCTGCAGGCTGGCTCTAGTGCCGGTCCTCTCAAGTATCATGACACACTGCGGGAAGCACAGAAGACTCAGCTGTATGTAGATTGACCAGTCCCTAAAACCAGATCTATTCCTGATAACAGCTTACTTCTTTGTGATTTATCAGCTTCTCTCAAAGTACAAAAGAGAAATCTTACATGTATAAACTGTCAGATTCTGTATAACTGAGATTTGTATTATTGTGAAACATCTTAACTATAATTTTCATAAATTACTTAAAAGCCCCATGCAAGTTAGCAAATAGATACACATAACAGTTTTTTTCTGTAGTAATCAGAGTAAAAAATAACCATTTTTATTTCTGGCACCTGCATGACCAACTCCATAGCTGTGTGACCTAAGACGTGTCATTAAGCTTGACAAACCTCAGTTTCCTTGTAGAATAGAAACCTCATCATGTATCTTACCTATTTTATAGGTAAAATAAACACTAACATAGGCTTGCCGCAAGGATTAACATACGAATGTATGTAACAGTGCCTTACAAAAGTGTATACAAATAATAAGTATCATCATTATTAATTGTATTATAATTAAAAGTTTATAGAGTGCTTTTGCATATCTTAATCTATTTAAATTTCACTAAATCCCTGAGACAGGTAAGAGATATTTTCCTCCTTTTATATGAGGAAACCGAAATTCAAAGATTCATAACTTATCCGAGGTCCCACAATGGGTAAAAAGTAGAAAGGACCAGAAGCTAGACATTTAACTGGAAACTTTACTATGATTCTTCACTTCATCTGTCGTGAAGAAAAAAAAAATTATCAATAGCTTCCATTTTTATTTTAAAAAATTTCCTGGGATTATGACATAGTTGACACCACATGTTTATTCTACTGTGGTGCTGGATGAAAATGGGCCCACTCACCTTTTTGACTTCATACTTAATGGCAAGTTTGACACGGCTCAATGAAGCTTTATGCCTGGGCACCTCCAGCGGCTCTGCTGACTCTAGGTCTCCGTTCAGAATGGCTTCTACCTCTTCTGAGTCTCGGCAGAGATCCAGCACACCCACTACAAAGTCTTTGCATTGCATGGAGAGCTTCCGGTAGTCATTCTAAGAGCAAGAGGTTTAGTGTTTAATACGAAGAATTCACTCTCATTCAGTGGAAAGTGTTTAGGGTTTGTGTGAATTAGAAAAAGGTATCCCTTTTTCTGGGTAGAAAGCTGCAGCCCCTACCTGGATGCAAGGCTTGTTGAGTCAGGTACCGGCTAGATTTGCCCCCACCCACCTCCTTAGCCAGGTTTCCTTTTGCAGCCAGCCCAACCACATGAGACAGCTCTGAAAATTGTATGTACATGATCTCACTGATATGTGGAACCTAAAAAAGTCAAACTCATAGAAGTAGAGAGTAGAATAGTGGTTTACCAGAGGCTGGGGGTGGGAGTGGGAGTGGGAGTGGGGAGGGAATGGCGAGATACTAGTCAAAAGGTACAAAGTTTCAGTTAGATAGGAGGAATAAGTTTTTGAGATCTATTTGCCCAGCATGGTGACTATAGTTATAATAATGCATATTTCCAAATTGCTAAGAGAGTAAATTTCAATGTCTCACTACAGAAAATGTTAAGTCAGGTGACAGATATGTTAATTAGCTTGATTTAATTATTCCACATTGTATACATATATCAAAATATACGTACCTCATAAACATATAATTATGTCAATTAAACATTTTTAAAAATTTACTTTAAAAAATTGTATTCACATAAGTTACTGGTTTGTATTAAGCAATATTGGCTAAATGCCAATGTTGAAAGACCAAAAGATTAAAGAGTACAAACAATAGTTCTTTTAAAGCCACTACAAGACCATTTCTATAATGGCAATTTTTCTAAAATGGTAATTTTTCTGAAATGGCAATTTGACAAAGAAGATCAGTTATGTGATATGAAAGGTATCATAATCAAAATGGAGTCACCTGTGTTAAAAAAAACAAAACCCTGAGAAAAAGAGCCAAGGAAGGCCATGAAGTGAGGGTTCTCATGCATGAATGCCCGATAAAAACTATTACAAAAGACTCTGAAAAAACTGCAATCTTATACAAGGGCCATCACAATCTTACATAAAAAAATACTTCTGCAAGGACATTTGCCCAGCAATTGCCTGTCCACCCTTGTTATTGATCCTTGTAGCCAGGGATAATTATCTCCAAGTGATTATGTAATCCTCCTCATTTTTCCTTTAAAAGTATTCGTCTTCCTTTCCTCCTTCAATACACACAAAGTTTACAATGGCATGCTTAGTCCCATTTTGATGTCCTAGTCCCAAATAAATACCATTTTCTTTTGGAAAACTTCTCTCTGTTATTTAGGTTCACAGTGAAAATAACTTGTCCAGCTTACTATCCCTTGCCTTCTTGGAGACATTACTTCTCAAAGAGTAGTCCTCGCACCAGCAGCATCAATAGCACCTGGGAATGTGTTAGAAATGCAAATTCTCATTAGCTGGGCACAGTGGCCCACTCAGGAGGGCCACTCCCAGCTACTCAGGAGGCTGGGACAAGAGTATTGCTTAAGCCCAGGAGTTGGAGGTTACAGTGACCTATGATCCCACTACCACATTCTAGCCTGGGTGACAGCGTAAGACCCTGTCTCTAAAAAAAAAAAAGAAAGAAATAAAAATAAAAAGAAATGCAAATTCTTAGACCCCACCCCAGATGTCTTGATTTGGAAACTGAGGAAGGGCCCTGCAATCTCTGTTTTAATACACCCTCCAGGTGATTCTAATACATGTTAATGCTTGAGAATGACTGGTTTATAGTGAATGTACAGAGGTAGACAGGTACCCACCGGCATAGAGAGGGTTTTTTTCCTAGTTTGTATGAAGGGCATATTATCACACCCTGTGGAGCTGGAAGGAGAGAAATGTCTGATTATATATAATTGAATTCTCAAGGGTTACAGAATATCAATACCTGAGAGAAAAATTTCCAGGCCACTGGAACTAACACCTTGCTAAAAATAATCTGTGAATCTTTAATTTCATTTGCAT